AATTATACTACACATACATAATTTCAGAGACATTCAGAGACATGAATGTGCAAATGGAGGCAAAACTGATTTTTCCGCGTAATTTTGCATTGCTATCATCGCTATTTAAAATTTACAGTTGTATTTAAATTCAGTTAACCAAGTTATAGTACATCACTAGTTTTTGATATAATATTCAATGATTCATTAGTTGAATATAACACCTAGTGCTCATCATATTTAAATAAATAAATAAATAAATAAATAAATAAATAAATAAATAAATAAAAATTAAAGAGTAAAATTTACAGAGTTGTAAAACTTTCTCTACACAATTGCTCTTCCATCCCCTATTAGAATATTCCAAACACAAATAACTAAGATTCAGTGGCTTAATTAAACAGGAAATTATTCTTTTCTTTTTTTTTTTTTTGCAAGAATAAAAGCTCAGAGTTAGGTGTTGCTGGTATTGGTTCTGTTGCTCAGGGATGTTGTAAAGGATCTAGGTTTTCCCTACTTTTCCCTTCATCAAACAATTTTCATGGTTGCAAGATGGCTGCCATAGCTCCAGACATCATGACCATGTTGAAGGCAAGAAGAGGGATGGGCAGAAGTGGCAAACACTTTCTCCCTTTCACAGGAAACAAAAGCTTTCCCAGAAATCCCTCAGTGGATTTCCCTTTCACTTAGTTGGTCAGAACTGTATCACATGATGACACATAGTTACAAAAGAATTCGACAAAACAAGTATTTGGCTTCTTTGCTTCTAGAGTGGAAGCTATCAGTGGTGAAGAGGTTGAGAACAGCTTTCAAGTTTGCCATTAGTGCCTGCCACACTAGAGACCGTCACTGTTAACATTTTAATGTTTATCCTTCTGGTGTTTGTTACCATATTTCTCTCTCTGTATTCATAAGACCCCTAGAATCACATTTGTACTAATCCTGCTGATTCTAATTCTGATTTCTCTCTCACAGAGTTAAAGCTCTTTCTTACTTTCAAATATACTATGAAGCAACATTTGAGGAAAGCAGGTACCTGCAGGAGCCTACTCTGAAATCTCTTCACAGCTTGATGCACAGGTGCAGGATCCTGCTAGCCCCAGAACTCTCTGGAAAACAAGAATTTCTGTTCAAGATGATAAGTTCATCTTCCGTGTTCTGCTCTTTGAGTTTCTAGACTTTTGTGGAAGTAATAGATCCCAGCATGAACAAGGTTACCTGGCTACCATTTTGGTTTCTCCTAAGTTCATTGGTGCACGGCAGCAAGCGTTCCTCTCCAGCACTATCCTGCGCGTGACACAGAGCAGCCCTTAATAAATGATTTGTCATATGACTGACTGACTTACCCTTTGACAAAGCCTCCTCCTGCTTTTAAAGAAATGGTCAGTAAAACAGTAATGGTGACCCCAGGTGATGAATAAAACCCACAGACCTATAGGCTACTTTTGCACAAACACTTAAAACAGTTATGTTGGTGAGTAGGAGTGCTGGATGGAGCAGAATCCCAGCATTTCATGGAGGGTTGCAGTGCTTGATGACAACACCCTTTGGAAAGTGTTTTGGTTTCCTGGGACCTTTCAGCAAACCAACATCTCTCTTCCTTCCAGGAACTTCCTTAGGACTTGGCTAGGATTCACACTGCTCACAAAGTTATCACCATCCCACCTGGCCCTCCATCCTGCATAATATCTTGATTGCCAGGGAGAGTAGAGGGAGATGAAACTTTTTAAAATGTAGATATCCTGGGGCGCCTGGTTGGCTCAGTCGTTAAGTGTCTGCCTTCAGCTCGGGTCATGATCCCAGGGTCCTGGGATCGAGCCCTGCATCGGGCTCCCTGCTCCGCGGGAAGCCTGCTTCTCCCTCTCCCACTCCCCCTACTTGTGTTCTCTCTCTCACTGTGTCTCTCTCTGTCAAATAAATAAATAAAATCTTTTTAAAAATGTAGATGTCCTCTGTGCTCGCTTTGGCTGCACATATACTAAAATTGGAACAATAAAATGTATATATGCTCCCTTCCAAGGCCACTCTGATACCTCCCTACTCAAAGTGTGGTCTGTGGACCAGAAGCATCAGCATCACCTTGTTAGGAAAGCAGGATCTCAGGCCCCACCCCATATTGGCTGAACCAGAACTTGAATTTTAATGGGAGCTCCAGGGGATTTGTGCTGTACACATGAATGAATGTTCTAGAATATTCTGGAATATTCTTCTGCTTGCCATGCTGATAGCAGAGCTTGTCTTTAAAACCAGAAAGGAAAATATCTTCTTGACTTTTGGACTTTGCATCTGCCATTCCCTCTTCCTAGGATACCTTTCCTCAAAATCCGACTAATTTCTACCTTTTCTTGAGTCTCAGTCATCACTTCCACCAGGGAGAATTCTTTGAATCTCCTCAAGTAGACTAGATGTCACTTTGTGTGTCCCTAGGGCTTCATGCTTTCTAACCCTGTATTATAACTTCTCTTTTGCTTAGGCATCTCCAGCCTAGACTGTGAGCTCTATAAGTACAGGGAATTATATCTAGGAGATTCTCCATAAATATGTTGAATGAATGAGTAAATGAATGATTACTCTCCATTCTGAGGATGAGGAAACCGAGGCTCAGAGACGTTAGGTAACTTTCCCAGCCTCACACAGCTGTAGGTGGCTGAGGTAGGCTGTGAACTCTTGACCACAGAGCTCCTCTTCCAGACCCTGTGTCTTTCTCCTTCTCTTCCTTTGACCCCAGGAATTCTTAGTTTGGGGATACAGAGGAAAGACAAAATATTTACTTTGAGTCAACTTACCACCGAAGATTCAATTAGCTCAGTAATGATCCTGGGTTAGACAATTTGATAACATTAAACTTGGCTGATGGAGGCTCAGTCTCTATTATTTGTGGCAGCCACAGCTTGAGAGGGAAGCTGACCCATGAGTTCATTTATGACAGGTTGGTCTTCAGTGTTTTGTTTGTCCAGAGAGTTCAATACAGAGGCCGTAGTTCTAAGGGATAGTGAAGCAAGAGATGGCACGGTTCCTACCCATCAGCAGTTGTGGTAGATTGATTGCAGCAGTGGCCTCAGGAGGTGGCCTCCATCTCTCTACACCCCTTCCCTGTCACTCTGTGACTCTTACTGCTCTCACTCAGGCTTGGCCTTGAGTCTTGCTTTGGTCAACAGAATGACTCAAAGACAGAGGGTTTCACAACTGGGTGTGCATTCTTTCTTGCCTTTACAAGATCAGTTTTACTTGCTTTTGCCTCCCTGCCTCCACCCTGAGAACATATCCAGCTAACCTGTGGGAGGGGTGTGAGAAACATGGAGGACAGCTACGTCATCCCATTATACCAGCTGAGGCTGTCCTCAATCAGCCAACTAGCCGACCTGTAGCTGACTGCAGTCAGGTGAGCAAGCCCAACTAAGAGTGCAGACTGGCTAAACCAACTCAGAGACTCAGGAGTAGCAATCAAGTATCATTGTTTTAAGGCACTGAGTTTCAAGAGTAGTTTGCTATGAAGTATTATTTGTGGCAATTACTAACTGATATAGTAACCAATGGATTATCAACATTTTGTATTTAATTGCAACAATTTGGAATATACAAAAAGAAGGATTGGGGTCTTCATTTCCTCTTAGCTATCAGGATCTATAAATCTGTAACGCTTAAACTTCTTCCTGATAGAAGACTTACACAAAAGCTTGTCTTTATGACAGTGTTACACGTTGGTCAAAAATAATGTTGTCCTTCAGGGGGCAGAATATCAGAGCTGTTAATCACACCTGCCTACACGTATAGGGAAAACCAGAATGTGACAATGCCATATATATATATATTTATATATATACATATTTATAGACATATAAGATATATATATAATTTATTTTAATATATATTATATATAAAAATATATATATTTAAAGGGACATATGCTCTTATTTTTTATTTATTTTTAATTTTTTTAGAGAGAGAAAGTGGGGGAGGGGCAGAGGGAGAGGGAGAGAGAGAATCTTTTTTTTTTTATTCTTATGTTAATCCCCATACATTACATCATTAGTTTTAGATGTAGTGTTCCATGATTCATTGTTTTTTTGTTTTTGTTTTTGTTTTTTTTAAAGATTTTATTTATTTATTTGAGAGAAAGACTGAGATAGAGCATGAGAGGAGGGAGGGTCAGAGGGAGAAGCAGACTCCCTGCCGAGCAGGGAGCCCGATGTGGGACTCGATCCCCGGACTCCAGGATCATGACCTGAGCCGAAGGCAGTCGCTTAACCAACTGAGCCACACAGGCGCCCTTCCATGATTCATTGTTTGTGCATAACACCCAGTGCTCCATGCAGAATGTGCCCTCATCAATACCCACCACCAGGCTAACCCATCCTCCCGCCCCCCTCCCCTCTAGAACCCTCAGTTTGTTTTTCAGAGTCCATCGTCGGGAGAGAGAGAATCTTAAGCAGGCTTCACACTCACCACAGAGCCTGACTCAGGGCTGAATCTCATGACCCTGAGATCATGACATCAGCTGAAACCAAGAGTCGGATGCTTTAACTGACTGAGCCACCCACACACCCCAGAAACTCTATATTTCTAAGGTAAGTAAAAGCTGTGGCCTCCACAACAAGAATTTTTCTTACCATAAACATCAAGCTACCTTTGGTAGAGTCCTTTACCACCGTCACCTCCAGTGGCTCCGCTAGAGAGAGAAAGGGACTCAGAATAAAAACTGCATCGTTCTCCAATCCCATAAATATAAAGATCCATTCAGGGGCGCCTGGGTGGCTCAGTTGGTTAAGCGACTGCCTTCAGCTCAGGTCATGATCCTGGAGTCCCGGGATCGAGTTCCGCATCGGGCTCCCTGCTCGGCAGGGAGTCTGCTTCTCCCTCTGACCCTCCCCCCTCTCATGTGCTCTCTCTCATTCTCTCTCTCTCAAATAAATAAATAAAATCTTAAAAAAAAAATATAAAGATCCATTCATTCAAGAAATATTTGTTGACCACCTACAATGTGCTTCCCCCAGAACATTAAAATAATTGAAACAATATTGAAAAATTGAAGTTAAGGATATTGGAACTGAAAACATTTCAAATTTAAATGTCTTATTTTTCCCCCAAACCAGAATTGATTAAAATTTTACTTTCTTGGTTTTAATGGAAGTAAACTCAATCAATAATATTTTCAAAATCAAGCTCTAGGAAAAAATTAGCTATTAAAAAGTACATTGAGAAAGTGTATGTAAGGGTGCACATTTTTCTTTTCTGCCACGGGCAAAAAATGGTGACCTGGCCTAGCAAGGGATATTTTGGATGTTCGGTTTATCATGGGTTTTCTTGCATTGACTTTTGATGTTTTGAAATGTTGCATTGACACAGTGTTTATCTTGATTACTCAAGGGATTGTCTCCTTTTCTATTGTGCCTGAGGTGGGTGCTTCCTTCTCCTCACCCTTGTGCTGGCCCTGATCATGACCATTTGGGGGCAGATTTACAGCTAGTTTTTAGGAAATGGGACAACATCCTTGTCATCCCTTGTCTAAAAACACTTAGTTATAACACTCTGTTAGTCACACCTGCCTACACGTAAAGGGAAAACCAGAATGTGACAATGCCAGATGTCTCATGCCCACCTGAGAATGATCTAGAACAGGTATACCTATGCTATCCTGAAATATGTATTTTTTTTTTGCGTTTGTCACATTGTGAATATCTTTTTAACTCATTAAACCTTTTGAAACTTTTTTTGTTTTGTCTTGTTTTGATGGTTGCATGGTGGTCTGTGGTATACACGTGTCATAATGTATTTAATCTGAGTTGCATCATCTCCAACTTTTCAGTATAAACAATGCTGTAAGGAATATCTTTGAGCTAAATTTCAAGCACTCTACTATTTAAATGCTTTTGAGACAAGTTATAGGTTGTGAGTGGGAAGAAGTTTGTATGTCTTCCTTAATGCATGATTGAAGAAATACATAACTGTACCAAAGCCATTAAAGTTTTCCCAAACTACCAAAAAAATAAGCCATTAGAAATAGTAATTTGAAGTTTACTTAAGGTGTACTCAAGAGAAGCTTTCCATCATCAGTTCTGAGTCATCTGGTCACCTCCTTGCCTTAACATTCCATTCCATTGTGCCTAAAGCTATCAATCTTTTATTTGTAATACTCAGCATGTTGGATTATAATCAGATGTTCATGTGTTTTGTCTCATTTGTCTCTGTATGCCTATGACCAGCAGAAGACTGGGCTCACAGATGGACTCTATAGTGTTTGTGGAATGAATGCATCAAGAAAGTATTGTGCCAGTCTGCTGCACAGTAATAGGACAGTGTTCTGATATTCTGCCCCCTGAAGGATAAGCTCTC